TAGAGACTGACACAACAATAGCACGTGGGAATATTGAATACTTAGGATTGATAATTTGTATTAATATCAAATTATATAAGAAAGTTAGCAGTATCAATATGAAATCATTGTCAGGTTTGCTCTAAAATGTAAAATACCCTGGAACCACACTGGTCACGCAATGATGTGTTTGTAGAAATTAAATAAAAATGTATTTTTTAAAAAAAGGATCATCAAAATCAGACACAAATGTAGGTTTTTCTTTTTTACGGGGGCGTCACGCACACCTTGGAAAATGCCTTCCTTCTTCATTTTCCAGACATGCCAGAGGTCCAGGTGTTTTAGGGGGCTGGAGTATCAATAGCAATGGGACCACAACAAGAATCCAACACCCAAGGAAGAACAGAAGCTGCAATCCAGGTAATCCTTGATTTACCACAGCATGTTTAGTGACTGTTCGAAGTTACAACGGCACTGCCGAGTGACTGCTTTTCACACTTACAGCATCCCCATGGTCACGTGATCAAAATTTGGATGCTTAACAACTGATTCATATTTATGATGGTTGCAGTGTCCCGGGATCATGCGATTCCCTATTGCGAATTTTTCTTCTTCTTTTTAAATAATTTTTAATTGAAAATTAAATTTTAAAAACATTTGAATGTGGTGATCTTTTGACATTTATCAACATTGTTATAATAGCAGAATGTCATCAAACAATATTCACACACACACACACACACACACACACACACACACACATATATAAAACACCCCCAATAGGAAGGCCCCGCACTGTTTTATACACATGCGACGAAATTAAGCCGCCCCCCCCCCCAATTTGGGCTTATTTAAACAATGCGTTCCCTGCCATTTCTCACATCGCGAGGTGAAGAGAAATTGGGGGGAAGGATGGGGGAAACTTGCCGTTAGGAGCGCCCCGCGGGTAGTCTCGGCTAGAGCACCCTGCAGGCAACCACGCCTTGCCACCAGGCCACTTCTATCGGCCGATAGAAGCGCCCTGAGGGCAGTCACCAGCCGCTTCTATCGGCCGTTAGGAGTGGCCTTGTGGCGAGGCGTAGATGCCTGCGGGGAGCTACAGCCATTAGGAGCACCCTGTGGGCGCTTGCCTCACCACCAGTTGCTTCTATCAGCTGATAGAAGCGCCCTGAGGGCACAGTCACCAGCCGCTTCTATCTGCCGATAGGAGCAGCCTCGTGGTGAGGCGAATCTGCCCGCAGGGCACTTCTATCAGCCGATAGGAGCGGCCTCCTATCGGCCAATAGAAGCGGCTGGTGACTTTGCCCTTGGGGCACTTCTATCGGCTGATAGAAACGGCTGGTGGTGAGGCGTGGCTGCTTGTGGGGCGCTTCTGTCAGCTGATAGGAGTGGCCTCTTGGCGAGGCATGGCTGCCCACGGGGCACTCCTAACAACTGTTAGGAGCGCCTCGCAGCAATCACGCCTCGCTATAAGGCCACTCCTATCAGCCGACAGAAGCGGCTTGTGACTTTGCCTTTGGGGCGCTTCTATCGGCTGATAAAAGCGGCTGGTGGTGAGGTGAGTCTGTGCAAGGGGCACTCTAGGTGGGGTGCGCATGGGGGGAAATTAAGTCACCCCCTCAAAAAGACGGCCTAGCCGTTTTTTCGGGGCTCAAAAAAAATAAGGCTCAGCCTTATTTTATGAGAAACACAGTATATTCATATTTACATTGTAAATCTTTGTATCCATTTCCATCTTAGACATTTTGTTGCGGTATAGACTCTTTAATATCTATTTCACTTTTTTAAAAATTTCCTTTCATATCCCTCCAATTATAATTTTTTTTCCATATTTCATAGAATTCTGAAATATCTCACTCCTTCAGTTCTAAAGTTAAGCTATCTAACTTGGTGCAGTGTAAATTTTTTTTGTATTATTACTTCATTGTTGGATATTTCTTTTAATTTCCATGTTTGGGCAATTGATAATTTTGCGGCTGTGATAATATGAATAATTAGATATATATCTGCTTTTTTTAGATTCTCATTTGTTATTCCTAATAGGAACATTTCTGGTGTATAATTTAGTTTTAGGGTTAGCATTTTCCTCTAACCGTTGCCCTTTTGTGGCCTTCTGATAGTCAAACCGAATGGGGAAGCCAGATTTGCTTAAGAACCGTGTTGCTAACTTAAGAAATGCAATGATTCATTTAACAACTGTGGGAAGAGAGGTCAGAAAACGGGGCAAAAATAAATTCACTTAACAAATGTCTCGTGTAGCCATAGAAAGTTTGGCTCAATTTGTGGTCGTAAACTGAAGACTACTATACAGTAATCTCAGCAAATCTCCCTTACCTTTCAAGGAATTTGGCAAGTAATGTGTCCGGTTGCTAGTTTTTGAGCAATATTACATTTTCTGAATGTGGCTCTCTTCCCCGTACGGGCATCCACACTTCTGCATCTGCTTTTTCTCTGTTGTTTCCTTCTTCCCCTCCTGATATTTTTCCCTTCTCTTAAAAATAAACCACACGATTTTACAAATATTGAAAAACTAGACCACGTATGCTTGTATTAAAAGCAAGCTTGCCTGATGCTGTGTTGATGAGGGCCATCTGTTTCAACTTTAGCACTGAATTCACACAGGCTTCTATGTGGGTCTTCTAGAAATGAGCTTAGGGCACTATAAGTATTTTCCTGAGAGTCAGGTTGCGTTGAACAAATGAGACTTATTTCAAGGTATATTGGCCGAGCAAGAATTTAAACTCTTATTTTTTTTTTATGAATGAACACCCCCCACAACGATACGGTGTAAAGCTTCCTGGTTTGATCAAGGCAGAAAACATTCTTGAACATGCGAGTCAGAGACCGATCCAGGATCTATTGATCATTATTTATTACCTCCATAAGGTTCATTAATGGGTTTTATTTCTAAAGAGTAATGTTTTTAGCTGCCAAACCCTGCACAGAGCTCAAAAATATTTCGGAGCCTTCAAAATGCCTGGTCACTCGAGACTTCCCAACCTGTCTTTGGGAAGAGATGAATTAGGGATCCAGTTAATTCATTTTTATAGCATCTGTGACATTCTTCTCCACCTTGATCTCCTCCAGATGTTGGATTTCAGCACCTGAAATTCCCCACTGCCTCGACCTTCAACACTATCAATTCTGGCTATTAGTCCAATACATCTGTAGGACATAACACTTCGCCCCCAAAAGTTCACCAAGTTACAACAGGC